CTTCTCCCTGCCAGCAGAACCCGTGACCTCCCTCACCCTGGATCATTTAAATGAAACATATTTTGCATCAAAAGACGGAACGGGGAGAAATGAAGAATTAAGGCTGCATTTATTTTTAGTTCTTTCTCAGAGTGCAGAGAGTGCACGCAGAGGTCTCCGTGAGTTTGTGATTCCAGACTCGATTTGCATAGTCATTTGCTTCCCTTCTGATTACCCTCATCTACCATGTGGCGCCACAACAATTAAAAAATGAAAATGGCTGGTCATGGTGGAAGATGAAACCAAGAGCGAGCAACCAGAAAAACTATGTGGAAGGGCCATCACTTGGGTTCCATAGTGGGACAGGGTAGGGACCATCTGCTGGCCCCATTCCGAATGCCAGTTTGGAGCAGGTTTTACTGCTTGGCTTAAAATTGCCATGCTACCCACAGGGGTTCCTTAAAGCTATCAAGAGAGTCTCCTGAGCCTCCTGCTGCCCACTGCTGGGCACAGAGGGCATTTCAGCCATGGTTTGCCTTAGAAGACCTTTGCAATATGACTCCACTACTCTTGGTCCGCACTAGACCATGCAGCTTCTAGGGAAGTTCTCAACAGTTCTAATGTACCCTGTGCTCTTTCTGGCTTCTCTGACCTTCTGTTCTCCTTGCTGGTAAACCTTCTGTTCTTGCTAGAGAAGCCACCTTTGTCTTCACTCAGAGTAAGGTCACCCCACCCCAGCTAGAATAGTTACCCCCTCCAATAACTTCCAGGGCTCCATTGTATATGGTCGTCTGTTAGTACTCACTGGGCTTGGTTCCAAAAGCCCCTCCCCCTCCAGATGCTCAAATCCCTTCTATAAAATAACCTAGTATTTTCATGTAGCCCATGATCCTCCCCCCAAATATGTTAAAGCAGTGGTTGTCAACCTCTGGGTCACAATTCCTTTACAGGGGTCACCCAAGACCATCAGAGAATACAGACATTTACATTATGACTCGTAACAGTTGCAAAATTACAGTTACAGAGTGGCAACGAAGATAATGTTATGGTTGGGGGTCACCAGAGCATGAATAATTGTGTTAAAGGATCACAGCATTAGGAAGGTTGAGAACCACCGTGCTAGAACACCTCCACATTACAATAGCTAATAGAACACAAACACTATACATTCATGCTTGAGCCTTGCTGCACAGCTGAGAACGGGAAAGATGGGAGTGGACTGGAGAAAGGAAGATGGCACACTTTGAGGTGGGCCACTCGGGTCACTCTGCTGTCCTGGGACAGAAGGCCTAGGCCAACAGCAAGACTGAGAACTATGGGATTTCGTGGTGGTCTGTGTTCAGCCAGATTGCTGCCCAGTATGTAAGTCAGTCCACCAAGATGGAGCAGCTAGTGAGGGCCAAAGTTCAAGGTTGCCAATGTCTTCACTCGAAGTGAATGGTCTAATAAATAATGGTCTAATAGGTGTAAAGTTTTTCCTGGGCAGACAGGGTAGGGTGTGTGTGTTGTTTTTCCTTTGTTTGTTTGTTTTGAGGTAAGATCTCAAATAGTTCAAGATGGCCTGGAACTTCTGTCTAGTATTTAGTGGAGGATGGCCTTGAACTCCCGATTCACTGTTTCCACCTACCAAGTGCTGGAAGTACAGTCGTGAATCACCCTGTTTGTTTGTTTGTTTGTTTTAATTTGACTTAGTTTTTAATACCATTTTACAGTTTTTAATATCATCTTCATGTGATCTCCTGGCAATACTTTGAGGCTAATATTTTCTCAAAAAGAAAATCGATTTAATCGATGCTATCGGACCAATATATATGAAAGTCAATAAGAGCCCACGAATCCTCAGCCCGTGATGATTCAAGCATGTGCCCAGTTTCTTCAGCTCCACTCCAACCTCAGTCCCATGAGCTCTGTGACGTTGGGCAAGTGGCTCATTCTCTCATACACACAGCCACTGTATTCTGGTACGGTGGTTGCAAAAACCAGGTGGGAGAATAGGCATGTCGGAGACAGGACAGCTTCTAGGGTTTTCCATGAGCACAGAAGAAGAGCATCAATAACTTACTGTGTGAGAGCCGCAGGATGTGCCCCTTAGAGGTCACAGTCCTATAAGGAGGGTACAGACGGCAGCTGCTGGAATCTACAAGTTGAAAACAATGTGTGCACCTCTGACACACACACATGCCTGTTGGCGACAGCCGCTGCCAGGAGGCCATCTCAGTGTATTGTGTACATGTGTTCATATGTGTACAGTGTGTGCATCATACAGAAGTGCTTGCATACGTGTGTGCCTGTATGCATGTGTATATTCATGTATGCCCTAAAGAAAGGGAAGCCTGGAAGGGAACCGGGAGGAAGTTCCTCTGAAAGTCAGAGTGCAAGTGTGGAGACAGACAGACTCACCCTGTCCCCTGTCCTGAGGGAAGTGGAGCAGGCTGAGGGAACAGATACGCAAAGGGACTTGAAGGGACTTCACTCTCTTGAGGGTAGCCTAGGAAACTGGTCCCCACGAAGGCCCTAGGCACCATGGGTCAGATCCTACAAACTAGATAAGAAATTGAGCATAGAGGAGAGAGGGAGCCTAGCTGGGCAGGGGTACGTTCTCTTGTGTCCAGAGTCAGGAGACACAAAACTGAACCGTAGGTTTAACAGTTCTGTACCCGCCAGCATAGTATTAGCAAAGCCCGTTCCTTCCAGTGAAAACTATGAACCACAGTCCGTAAGTCACAAGTAGGATCCTTGTCAAAACCGTGATGAATTAGAACTGAATCGAAGTCTGTGTCACACACACCGAGGGACGCCACATCTGTTTTCCTCACAGCTACAGGCCTGAAGCTAATAGTGTCTGCCTACATCAGTGCTCGACAAATGTCTATGGATGTCTGATCAGATCATGCTGTCATGGGTTGAGAGTCGTTATGGACACATCGTCATGAGGAAGAGAAGTAGGAGATCATCATGGTGGAAGCGGCCTGGAGATGAGAAGGCTGCAGAGTGGAGAGCTAGGAGCAGGGTAGAAATGTGTCTGGCAGGGCAGGTGGGGGTCCTAGCTGGTGTCCTCTCCCTGGGGATTTGCGGCTGCACACAATCACCTTTACATCCCACATGGTGACTGAGACTCAGAAGAGTGACTGGAACAGCATGACCCCTGGGGACAGTGGAAAGACAAATGGCTGTAAGAGGAGGGTTTTTTTATTCTACAGTGACCATGATCCAAAAGGAAAAACATCTACACATCACCGTTGCCCACTTAAAAGCAAAAAACATTAAGAAAGTCAAAAGGGAATGAGTTATGACCTAGCGCATGCTGTTTGAGAGGGGACACTGGCTAGCTGCTTGGGTATCGCTCTAAAGAATCAGAAAGACATAAATGTTGAATTTTCTTAGTTGAGGCTTCAGAATCCCAGTCCCTCCTTCCCCAGGCATCCACGATGTCCCTCATTTCTTAGTATGTGTGTATGTGTGGGTGAGTGTTCACGTGTGTATAGATGTATGTTCTGTATAGGTGTATATACACCTGTGAGAGCCAAAGGACAATATATGTCATTCCTCCGACACAGTCCACCATTTCTTAGCTTTTCTCTTTTTCTTAAGACAGGTTCTGTCATTGACCTGGAACTCACCAAGTTAATTGGGGGAGTCACCAGCCAGGGAGTCCCAGGGCTCTCTCTACCTGTTCCCATCTTCTCAGCATCAGGACCACAAGTGTGTCCCACCACCCCCAGTCTGTTTGTTTGCTTTTTAAATGTGGGTTCTGGGAATCAAACCCAGGTCCAACACTTTACCTGCTGAGCTATCTCTCCACCTTGTTTAAAAAAAAAATTGTTCGTGTGTGTGTGTGTGTGTGTGTGTGTGTGTGTACATGTACTGAGCAACAGTGTGAGTGGAAAGGTCAAAAGACACCTTGAGGAAATGTGTTCCCTCCTTCTGCCAGTCCTCCTTATGTGGATAGGACTCAGGTTATCAGGCGTGGTGACACGTGCCTTTACCCACAGAGCCCTCTCACGCCACTCCTCTCGTTGATATTATTTCTCTAACAGTTTTTCATTTCTCCCCTTCCCTTTCTTCCTTCCTAACTTCCCTATCTCCCCTTGCCCCCTCTCAAATTCATGGCCTCTTTTTCTCTAATTGTTATTGCTGCATCTATCTACCTACCTACCTATCTACCTACCTATCATCTATCTATCTATCTATCTACCTACCTACCTACCTACCTGCCTACCTATCATCTATCTATCTACCTACCTACCTATCTATCATCTATCTATCTATCTATCTATCTATCTATCTATCTATCTATCTATCTATCTATCTATCTATAAATAGGTAACTCCAACCTGCTAAATCTGCTTAGCATTGTTTGTTATGCACACAGTTTCAGGACTAGTCATTTGATATTGTATATATAACTAATTAGTAGGCTCATCCCTAGAGGAAACTGTTTCTCACCTACCCAGCATTCCTTAGCTGCCTGAATTTCTTTGTCTAGGGACAGCCCCCCCCCCCCCCGGGGGATTTCCCATTCCATGTTAGCATGACTATTAGTGGAGTACTTTTCCAGGTCTTGTTTAATGTAGCCATGTTTTTGCAACATTGTGTTATTTCTAGGGGACACGATCTCACAGATGTCCTGTTCCTCTGGCTCTCACAATGTTTTCAGTCCCCTTCCACAATGTCACCTGAATCTTGGGTACCGCTGTGTTGTAGATGGATCCGTTGGGGCTGAGGTGACAAGAGGACCTCTTGTCCTCTGTATTTTGAGCAGATGTGGTTTTCTGTAATGGTCTCCGTCTTCAAGGAAAAGTGAGAATTAAATTTTATCAGGCAAAACCAATGAGAGAGAGAATGAGAGAGAGAGAGAGAGAGAGAGACAGAGAGACAGAGACAGAGAGAGAGACAGAGAGAGACAGAGAGAGAGAGAGAAACATTCCATGCCTTCACTGTCACTTCGAATATCGGGAGAGCCACATTTGGCACCAGAGACAAGTCTGTCACCCCACTAATGCCCTTCTCTTTCCTTCTAGTATGTGTCCAGTAGACGGGCCGTCACTCAGAACTCCACAGAGCAAGGTACCTTCCACCCACATCTTCTTCCCCACCACCATCGTCACCACTGTCACCATAACCGCCTGTGCCACCATGCCCGCCCCCGCCACCTCAACCACCAGGAGGCAGGGATGCACAGTGCTCAGGTGACACCCTGCCTATGCCCACTCTTCTCCTGCCAGTGGGAAGGCCACCTGGAGGTGGTGGTGCCTCACCTGCGCCAGATCCACAGGATCGACATCCTGCAAGGGGCCGAGATAGTCTTCCTGGCCACGGACATGCACCTCCCCGCGCCAGCCGACTGGATCATCATGCACTCCTGCCTCGGCCACCACTTCCTCCTGGTGCTCAGGAAACAGGAACGACACGAAGGGCACCCTCAGTTCTTTGCTACCATGATGCTGATCGGTACCCCCACCCAAGCCGACTGCTTCACCTATCGCCTGGAGCTCAACAGAAACCACAGGCGTCTCAAATGGGAGGCCACCCCGAGGTCTGTCCTGGAGTGTGTGGATTCGGTCATCACTGATGGGGACTGCCTGGTTCTCAACACCTCACTGGCCCAGCTCTTCTCCGACAACGGCAGCCTCGCCATTGGAATCGCCATCACCGCAACCGAGGTCGGCGCCACGGATGCCGAGATGTGAGGCCAGGAGCTGCTGGATACTCACGCTGCCTGTGTACCTTGGACCTCCGAATGTCGGGACATTTTTATTCCCCCTTCCTTCCTTCCTTCTTTTCTTTCTTTTACGTCTCAGGTAATTTGTGGTATTAGTATTCATTGGCCACAGGCATTCTGTTATGTAAACATCTGTGAGTCAAGGTCTTGGTGTGAAATCTGTCCTGTGTGTTGTTGGTACAGTTTGGTAGAACATTTGGAAGATTCTACCAGAGTAGTTACTTCCGGCCACCACTGGTCTCTTTCGCTACTGCTTCCACAGGGAGCGAATGCCAAGAAGCAGGGCACTGGGGCTAACGGGAGACTTGGCTTCCCAACTCCTTCCTTCTCTTTTCGTGCGGTTTCAGGCAGAGCCTGACTTGTCATGGCTGAGGCAGCCAGCCGTGACTGCCACCTTTCCAGGAGCCTTGGGGTCAAAGCTAAGCTGCATGAGCATGAGAGACAGGGTCTCCTCCACAAACAGTGGGGTCCCCTAGAGGCGCACTCTGGGTCAGAAGTGGTCACCTGACCCCGGGCTGGGGTCAGCCGTCGGATACAAACCCCTCTGTTTTTCAGATTCTGGCCTTATTCCCTGGCCATGCCATTTCCCTTTGCTTTGCAATTAAAGCCCGAATGTTTTGGTGCTCCTGTGAAAATCATCTCGCCTCTGGGGAGAGCGGGATAGGTATGATGCAGAAGAAGAATTGCAAGGAAAAAGACGGCACCAAATCACCCTCTGACCTCTGGGAGGGCGCACCTGCCTCATCAAGACTCTTTAAACACATAAACTATAAATCCATCACCCCCCCAAACACACACACACACACACACACACACACACACATCTTTTTGTATCAAGGACACATCTGTCCTTGACGGTGTGTGCGTAAGACCCATCATCAAACACGGGGACCCCAGAACGAAGCAACTAGGACCTCCAGCATGAAGAGATCGCCTGACACACTCTGGGCCTCCCCTTTTCTCTCCTTACTTATTAACACACGCTGTAGCCCTGTCCAGCACATAAACATGGCTGCTTAGGAGTAAGTTCGGCATATACAGAAGGAAACCTCAGGAACCCACCTCACCTCACCCTCCGCTCCCTACCCCCACACCCCACCCACCCACTCCTACCCTCACTCCATCCCTCACCCACCTTCGCCCTCACCCCTCCTCACCCCCCACCTTCTCACCCCCCAGAGGTTACTCTCTCTTGTTTTGCCATTAGAACAAAGCATCAACTTTTGGGGAAAGGCCTTCCTGCACTGGAAGGAAGTGGGGGGGTCTTTGCTCTGCTTTCTTTCTGTTCTTAGTTGTACACCTTAAAGCCTTCCCAGTGGGGTCACATGTCCACAACGTCCTTTCTGTTACTGTCAGGTGCTAGGGGAAGCATGGCACCCCAAACCAGCACAGCTCTCTAGAGGGCCGTATGGGCCTTTCTCCGGCTCGCTCCCTGACCTCAGGCATACCTTCTGGGCCTGGCTGGCCTCCCAGCGAATACTGAGTTTCAGGCAGATTGCCCTGGCTGCCCATCAGCAATCTTTTCTCCACCAAATTAATTCATCTTAAAATACACTACCCATCCTCCCAAACGGGTTGATTTTCCCAGCCGCTTTTGCTGCCGAGCCATGCTCGAAGCATGCATTTATAGAACTATGAAAACACAGCTCTTCCCAGTCACCCAGTTCTTGCTGGGACTCTGAACCGAGGCTTCATCTATCCAGGGCCTGAGCAAATTAACTTTGCTCACAGAGTATCACGAAGATGAAGCTGGGAGGTATCAGGAGGCTTGTGTCCTGTGGACTCCAGGCTGTTAGCCTCCAACCACACCTAGACCCAAGGCTGGTGTGTCAGTCCTTGGAGAGACCACTGGTAGGGCCCCATCCCTGCTACCCAGGACCTCCCTAACTATCTAAAGGCATCAGAAGCCACAGTTCCTCCTCTAACTTCTGAGGGTCATTTGTAACATCTTAAGTGTCCCAGCTAAACAGACACACAGCACCTCAAGAAGAATACATGACGTGTAATGCTTACAGGCCTCGGAGCTCTCACAACATTGCCTGGGCCTTGCTACTGAGCCAACCTAGGAAGGACTGCAGGCCATTGTAACTGCACAATGTATTCAAGTAAGTGACTCGAATGCTGGTTCCTAGAAATCTCCAGAAGAAAGGTTAGGAGATGGGTTCTTTTCATTCACCTATGGTGCTCCCAAGACGGCCTTTCTCTTCACACTCATGCGTGAAGAACAGAAGACAAAGGCACAAACTAACAAGCTAACACTGGTGCATTGGAAACAGAAGAGAGGAATAAAAACAAACTGTGTTTGAGTGTTTTTATCACCCAAAGGCTCCCTCCTTTAGCCTTGAATAAAGCCCACCCCTCTCCTCAATACGCAGGGGCATGTGTATTCAGAGACGGGCCATGACCTTCTCAAGGTCACATGTCAGACCACAAGTAAAACTCCACTCTACCAGTTCATCTCCATAGGAAGATGACACCCTGCCCTCACCCCCCACCCCACAGTGTTCAGGAGGGTCTTGTTCAGCAGTGGATTGGAGACTTGAAAACTGAATGGGTGAGAAGGAGAATTCACAGGGAAAGGCAGAAGGAGATCCGCTTTTAGTGGTGTCTTAGCATTGTGGAAGTCAGCTGGTCCTGGGGAGGTGGGAAGGACGAGGCACATGGAGGTCTCAGTGGCCCGGTGTCCTTTGGCCTCCTTCACCCATTCTCAGGCCTCTTGTTCATAGATTCTGGAACCTGGTTGCCTCATTCATGCCAAGACACTCAGTTTAGTGATACTTACTCTCTGAAGAGTGTTTGTGTTTTAATAGAGGGCATAGGCAGACAGACAGGAGCACTTAAGAGACGCGAGCTGTCTGTATTTGAATGGGCAGCTGTGAGCCGTTTGTTTAGCAGGTGTTTAAAGAGAAGCACGTCTCTCCTTGAGTCTGAGACTAAATAAATGACTGGCGGAGGCTTAGCAATACAATGAATATCATTCCTAACAGTGAGTACGCATAGGAGCCTGTGCCTGGAACAGATCTAACATTTCTGCAGTGCAGGGGACATTTAGAAATGGAACAGGATAGTTGTCCCCGTAGGCCTTGCGGCTGCCGACTGAAAGTTCCCTATATGAAGACCCAAGGGGATAAGTACTTGGAATATATTATCCACGTAATCTTCAAAACAGCCCCGTGAAGCCGCTGCTGTGTGCTGGGATAGATGAGAAACTGCAGCTAGCAAGTAGGAAAGCTGGCTCCATAGCCAGGCTTCTAACCAGCTACACCCTTGTCATTTCTCGCAACTCGTGTTCCAGAGTCTCAGAAGGACCCAGTCATAAAGTCCGAAGGGCATGGGAACCCTGCTTTCGTATTTCAGCACTAAATGTATCCTTTCTCTTCTTTCCGTCTCCTTCTAGTCCAGCTCAACAGCTGACTTGTATTTCACACGGTTACATTTTTAGAATTTTGTAGGTCAGTTATTACAACCATCACTGGAAAATTAACTTATTATATACTCTTACAATTAAATAAATTCTATTTAAAATGAGCATAATAGTCAGGCTTCCTGATTCTTTCACCATGTGTTATTTTGTGTGCCCCGATGCCATTTGCCTCACATCTGCAAGGATCAAGCTCACAACGACGCACCACCACCTGCCTTCAAGCTCAGCATGCAGTGGTGATAGCTCACCACTGTCTATGGTGATAGCTCACCACTGTCTATGGTGATAGCTCACCGCTGTCTATGGTGATAGCTCACCACTGTCTATTGTGATAGCTCATCACTGTCTATGGTGATATAGCTCACCACTGTCTATGGTGATAGCTCACAATTAGCCAGGATGGAAGGATTTACACTAAGCCATTGGCAAATATTATAAGCCTTTCCCATCACTCCACAGTCTAAATATTGCTGATGCACACAGGGTGGGGAGGAAGGACTTTGGAAGGAGGAGATTTTGGTGAGTAAACAGATGGTGGTCAGCCAGCCAATTGTTCAGGAATGCAACGCTTCTGGGGAAGAGACCCTGAGGGTTCCAAGAGTACTTCTTGCCCAGGACACCCTTCAAAACTGCCCTCCACCCTACCCTGACCTATACTACTGTGCAGAATTATGTCTGATGGTTCTCATGGAGAACCATGGTCCACAAACCATGGTCTATTAGCAACACTAACCTAAAAGCCAAACCGAGTTCTATAAAACTGGAATCACCTCCATCATTTTCTCTCATAGGTTCCCCTCCCTCCTTCTTCCTGACCTATAGACCAAAATGGTCTCTAAAGAAATGCTTTACGTTGGAACTAGAGATTGGAAACATCCAACATTTGAGAAGGGCATAATAAGCAGTGATTTCAAATATCACATAAAATGTATTGCCAAGGAAGGAAAGTGAGACTCTGATTTGTTGTGAGTCAAGAGACAGAGAAGGCAACAGGGAAGGGGCTGTCATGGGAAAGACGGAGCCCAGCACCTTCCTCCCTGCTCTGGCTGCTTTACTGTATGCAGCCCAACAAGGAGTCTGCCAGAGAGAACATGGTTCCCACTGCCCCCGAAGTCATGATAGACCTTGGAAGTCCTGGTCTGGAAGCAGGCAGAGACTCTGAGGTGAAGAGTGACTCAGGGGGCTGGGGAGATGGCTTGGTCAGTGCTTGCTGAGCATGCGTGAAGACTAGGATTCGGATCCCCAGCGCTCACATAAAGCTCAGGTGATACAGTGCGTGCCTGTGATCCTGGAAATGGGGAGACAGAAAGAGGAGGACCCCTGGGGCTTGCTAGCCGGAGAGTCTACCTGAAGGAGTGAGAACCAAGTTCGATGAGAGACTGAACCGAAAAGTAAGGCAGAGACACATACTGCCATCATCCTTCATTCTCTACATACATACACACATACATGATCACACACACTCACACCCCCACTTCCACCACACACATGCATGCACACAAACATGTACACACACACACACACACACACACACACACACACACTTTAGCCAGTGCCTCTGAGTTCATTGGTTTCTGTGTAAGGGATGTGACAGAAATTGTGAGGCTTTCCAAGGCTACAAATTGGACCCAACATCTAGAAGAAGGGGGTGGAGAGTCACAGGCTCTGATTTAAATCCAACTCTAATATTAAAAATGGTATTTCCTAGTCAGATTGTCAAATTTCTGATTATTTGTTTTGAAGATTTCCTTCAATGGGCAACTGAAGAAATCCCCCTGAAAAGCTCCAGGAGACAGGATATTCGATCAGCAGAGCACAGCAGTTACCTAGGTAGGCTATAGACTACCTTTCCCACGGTATGTGGAAATATTTCATTTTGAGTGCACCAGAAACATCCCCTGCCCTTTTAAAACCTTGTTTGGAGAATGGAGATAAGAAAGGGAATGGATATCCAAAGGCATTTCACTCCGATTGACATATAAAGAATCTTCTAGCTTTTCCTATGATGTCACAGACAAGAAGCAATAGCAAACCAGAATGTTACTGTCTCTCCATCCCTTCCTCCATGGAAAAGCCACTAAACTGTATTTGATACTTTTTTTTTTGTTTGAGCCCTTTGGAATCTGCTCATTCTTACTGATGGTTTGTTCCATGCAACATAAGGGAACAGCAATGGAAAGCTCTCAGGCAGGGGCAATACCCAGAGATTCACGGACTGTCATGCTTGCCTTCTGTTTCATTATCTCCCACCCCTTTCATGTGTGACTCCAGTTAAAGCCATAATTGAATGGAAGGAAGAAAACGCTAGCGGTGGCGAATTGGAACTGTGACAGCTCCCTTGTCTCCGGTCCTATCTCAGCGCCTCCTGCTGCTCTGAGAAGCCTCTCTCCCTGCATCCTAAAGAAAGAGAAGAGCTTCACCCCTGGCCCTGGCCTCCCAAAACCCCTTATCTCAGCTGTCCCCTGCCTCTGCCTGACAGCACAGTCTCTGAAATTTTCTCCTGGGTCTATCAGATCACTTGTCAAAAAAGCCTTCATGGTTTAATTCTTTAATTCCAGGCCACTGTTAGTTACTCCCAAGATCAGAATTGAGCATGGTTCTAATCCTATTGCCTGTCAATTCATTTAAACCTCAATCTTCCTGCCATCTTACGCCCAG